ATACACAGCAATATAGCAGCGCCCACCAATTGATGGCGCTACTGCACAGGTGGGAATTAGCAATGCATTTCTAATCTTCACAACGAGGGAAAAACGTCACAGCCTTCTCTACCTCAGCAGCACAAGGTTCATCATCATTTTCCAATTAGTATAATTGTCTACATTCTCGTCACTATTGTGTGCTTTATTAGGAGACTGCTGAGCACAGCTAGATGTTTCCGGCCTCTGCGTTTATGCTTGGATGGGCTTACTCTAAAATACGAGCGACAATCGGCTACCTGCTAGCTTCGTCTAATCATGGCATTCTAATAAATTGTGCGAGACTAATATTCCAAAGGTGGGAGAAATAAGGTGCCGTAGAATAGTGAGCATACAATCAGTACGTACTTCTACCTAATGTTTTCAATGTGCCTGAAAAGACGGAGACGCATTGCTGATACTTTGGCATAAATATATATAGCCGATGTACATTGAAAATCAGTTCCTGCCGAGTACTAAATATTTGGGCATTGCTACAAATTTCATCTCATTCTTTGTCTTTTTCTTTACGGGATATTCCCTTTGAAGCAGGAGAGAAGTTTCATTCGTCTTTAATTCTATGTTAAGAAGTTGACGCTTTCCTTTCGAACACGAATGGTTTCCATAAAACTGGCAGTTATTCCCTCGACGCTCATAAGTTTTGCGATTTGTAACTGATAGAGGTCAACGGTTGTTCGCTGTCCCCTATAGGGCGTTCCTATACAAAGTGCTAACAAGCATATTCATAATCCATAATGCGGCTGTAATGATGTAATTCTAAGGATCGAGGTTATGCATGAGGTAAAAAGGCCTACTACACTGGCTAAGATTTACTCCTAATCAATAGTAGTTGATTAGAAGTGCAACGACAGTACCACACAAAGCCTTTGTTGTTTTCTCAAGATTCAAGGGATATAGTACAGTGAAATAAGTCGCATACGAAGATGCTCTAAGACTTGTTTACTTCATATTCCGAGTCTTAGTCCTGGTTGTGATGCAAAGCAATCACATGCATAAGTTGTAGTCAACCACCACTTAGCAGCTTCTCATAAGATCTCTCTCTCTAGATTTTAACTTGACGATGAAGCATGTGAAAGTTCAGCGTTTCTTTGAAGACGAAAAAAACATGGTGGAATATTTAAAGTTATCCTAATGCATTCAGAATATGCCCCTGAAATAGAAGTAAATAAACTTTGCTATTTTCCAGAGATGCAGCAGGCTTGCGCGCGTCTTCATAACGAAAAGAGTGCAACTGGTTTACATA